TCAAAAAAAAAAAAAAAAAGGCAGCTTCTGTGAATTTTGGAGCCACATAAAAAATGAAATAACAGCCGAGTGCAATAACTCATGCCTATAATCCCAGCACTTTGGAAGGCTGAGGTGAGAGGATTGCCAGAACCCACGGGTTCAAGACCAGCCTGGGCAACTTGGAGAGACCTCGTCTCTACAATAAATTTTTTTTTTTTTTGAGTTGGAGTCTCACTCTGTCACCCAGACTGGAATGCAGTGGCATGCTCACGGACACCACAGCTTCGACCTGTTGAGCTCCGGCGATCCTTCCGCCTCAGTCTTTCAAGTAGCTAGAACTACAGGTGTGCACTACCACGCCCGGCTAATTTTTTTTTTCTATTTATTGTAGAGACAAGATCTCAGCATGTTGTTCAGGCTGGTCTCAAACCTCTGAGCTCAGGAAATCCTTTCACCTCAGCCTCCCAAAGTGCTGGGATTACAGGCTTAAGCCACCACTCCCAGCCTCTGGCTTTTCTCAACTAATGTTTTTGAGATTCATACATGTCATTCTATGGAGCTGAATATGTGTTCATTCTCATTATTGAGAATTGCATGGTAGAACTAGACCACAGTATATTTGACCATTCTATTGTTGACAGATATTTGGGTTTTTCCAATTTTTTGATTATTTGAATACTGATGCTATGAATATATTCTTGTATTTAGTGTCTTGTTGATGAACATAAGTTCTTACTTTTAATATTTTCACTCATATCAGTATTTTCCTTTATGATTGGGTCTCGTTTGTTTCTATTTAGGGCATACTTTCCCTGCATCAAAATCATGATATTCTTCTCAAAAAGTTTCTAAAAGCTTTCTACCTTTGTCTTTTATATTTAGGTACTCAAAATCATTTGGGAGTACTCTTATTATCTGATAAAGCAAAATCTCCTCACTTTGCTTTTTAGATTTTGGTAAAGGATTTTTTTCTCCAAAAACATCTTGACTATTCTTGGTCTTTTTTCTTGTTGTATACATTTTAAATTCTACCTGTCAAGTTCTATCAAAACAAATAAGTAAAAAAAAAAAAGGGGGGGTTATTGAGTTGATATTGATGATTTAAATCAATTTGGGGAGAACAGACATAAAAAGCAAAGCTATAAAAGCTTTTAGAGACTCTGTCAGAAAAATATCTTCATGATCTTGATGTCAGAGAAGTATGAATGCGTCATAAATTGATTATGTCTTTACGAAACTGAAACATTCTACCTATAAACATGATGTAGCTGTTACTTAGGTCTTCTGTAATATGTCTTTATAAATTATATAATTTTCTTTCGAAAGATAGTAATTTTTCCAGCTTATTTCTAGGTACCTCATGGAGTTTTTTTGTACTATTGAAAAGACTACCTTTTTTTTTTTGAGTTGAAGTCTCACTGTGTTGCCCAGGCTGGAGGGCAGTGGCACACTCACGGCCAACCCAGTCTCAACCTGCTGGGCTCAGGGAATCCTTTCACCTCAGCCTTCCAAGCAGCTGGAACCACAGACACATGCCACTACATGAGCTAATTTTTTTGATTTATTGTAGAGACGAGGTCTAACCAAGTTACCCAGGCTGGTCTCAAACCCATGTGCTCAGGCAGTCCTCTCGCCTCAGCCTCCCAAAGTGCTGGGATTACAGGTGTGAGCCACTGTGCCCAGCTCAGTTGGTTTTTTTTGTTTGTTTGTTTGTTTTTTGAGTTGGAGTCTCACTCTGTCACCCAGATTGGAGTGCAGTGGCCGCTTCCGGCCACCACAGCCTCGACCTGCTGGGCTCCAGCGATCCTTCCGCCTCAGCCCTCCAAGTGGCTGGAACTACAGGCGCGCACTACCACACCCGGCTAAATTTTTTGACTTATTGTAGAGATGAGGTCTAGCCAAGTTGCCCAGGCGGGTCTCGAACCCGTGGGCTCAGGCAATCCACTCACCTTAGCCTTCCAAAGCGCAGGATTACAGGCTGAGCCACCGAGCCCGGCTCAGTTGGTTTTTAAATATTGTCTTTATATCATCCAGCAGCCTTGCTAACCTCTTCTATTGGCTTAAATAATGTTTCTGTATCATCCTTCGGATTTGCTTAGTATACAATTATATTGTCTGAGATTAATGACAATTTTGCTTCTTCTTTTTCTACTCCTCATTTTATTTCTTTTTCTTACCTTACTGCTGACCTCTGGTGTACTGTGGAATAGACACATAGTGATGGGGGTTCATGAAGAGAGGAGGCTATCGGCCTTCCTCCAATCATAGTATTTGCAGAAGGCACTTTGTGGATACTCTATCAGATTAAAGAAGTTCCCTCTGTTCCTTGTTGACGAGCAGTTTTAATCACAAATGATTCTAATTTTTATCAAATGACTTTTCTACATCTATTAGATTATACTATGGTTTTTCCTCTTTAATTTTCTGTAATGTGCTAACTCATGTTAATTCATTTTCTAATGTTAAAGCTAACCTGCCCTCATGCAGTAAATCCAACGGCATCATGATCTGTTTTATGTTTACACTGTATTGCTGGATTCTTGTTAACTTTTGTTCAAGACTTTTGCATTCATATTCAGAAATGAGCTTGACTAATAACTCCTCTTTCTCATGATGCTGTGTAGGGCTTTGACATTATGAAATGAGTTGGGATGTGTTCTTCCTTTTGATTGGGTTGTCTGCCTTGAAAGTTTGACTGAAACCACATAGAAAGTCCTCTGGGCCTTGAGATTGAGTTTTGGGGTTTTGGTTTTTTGTCTTTTTTTTTTTTTTGAATGGGAGTCTCTGTCGCCCAGGCTGGAGTACAGGGGCACGTGCATAGCAACCGCAGCCTCAACCTGCTGGGCTCAGGTGATCTTTCTACCTCAGCCTTCCAAGTAGGTGGAACTACAGGCGCATGCTGCCACATCCGGCTAATTTTTTATTTATTGTAGAGATGAGGTCTCGCCAAGTTGCCCAGGTGGGTCTCAAACCCACTGGCTCCCAAAGTGCTGGGATTACAGGCTGAGCCACCGAGCCTGGCCCTTATTAGCTTTTAAAAAGAACCAATTCTGACTTTGTTAATTCTTATTGTGTCTTTGTTTCATTGCATTGTTTTGTTTTTAATCTACATTATTTCCTTTCTACCTTTATATTCTTGTTGTTTCTTTCTGGTTTTTCGGTATGGATGTTTAGCTCACTTATTATTATTATTATTATTTTAATTAATTTTTTTTTTTTTTTTTTGAGTTGGAGTCACTCTGTTGCCCAGGCTGGAGTGCAATGGCACGCTTATGACCACTACAGCCTCGACCTGCTGGGCTCCGGCGAGCCTTCTGCCTCAGCCTTCCAAGGAGCTGGAACTACAGGCGTGCGCTACCACACCTGGCTGATTTTTTTATTTATTGTAGAGATGAGGTCTTGCCACATTGCCCAGGCGGGTCTCAAACCCGCGGGCTCAGGCAATCCACTCACCTCAGCCTCCCAAAGTGCTGGGATTACAGACTGAGCCACCGAGCTCGGCTAATTTTTTTATTTTTTGTAGAGACGAGGTCTCGCCATGTTGCCCAGGCTGGCCTCAAATTCCTGAGCTCAACAGTCCACCTGCCTCAGCTTCCCAAAGTGCCTGGATTACAGGCTTGAGCCACTGTGCCTGCCCATAATTTGCCTTTTATGTTTTGCAACATTATGCTTTGGGGTTTATTTTTAATTGTTCAGTTTGCTACAAATACTAAATGGAAATAAATTTTTCTAAAATTCAAAATGATTAACTTTTAAAATTTGCCAGTATAAAATGGTATACAAAAGTTCTCCAGTGGAAAGAGTACTTGGTTTTTCCTTTGCCCTTAAAGCAACCCATGATTCTTTTTGGCTCTACTTTGTTTACATGGATTATCACATGTTTATTTGCTCAAACAAGTCTGTCTTATTTGGCTATATTACTTTAGCCAAAGTCAGCTAAATTTTTATTAAGCTGCTAAGCAAACCCATTTATTTGCATTGAGAACACTGAATACAAATACCCTGCTTCTTGGTTTTTCTCTAGGCACGCAATATGAAGAAGCAAGTCATTGATGACTTCATTGCCCAAAATAAGTATCTGCTGGCAGCCAGGCTAACCAGCCAGAAGTTGTTCCATGAACTCTGCCCTGTGAAGCGGTCTCACCGGCAGAGGAAGTAAGGACTTCCCCTGCTTGTCACTGCAGTAGAAGGGACCTGTTGCATTTGATTACAGGGTGATTAAACATCTGCCCCATGACAGAACATGTTCCTCATATTTAATAACTGATTTACAACTGTGATGGTAGTGTGATGGATTAGGCCAGGGCTCCTTAACACCAAATTGTTGGATGTGTCAGCCTGGCCTAGGATCAGAGAAGATCCCCCTAAGATTAAACTCTAGCTAAGACCTTAGCCAGGTGTAGGGGGAGACCAGTCCACTTTAAGGAAACGTGAAGTGTGAGAGAGTTTCTGCTCTCACTAGAGCATGCTGTGCAAGGTGAGTCTTGGAGGTCTCCAAAAGGAGCCAGAATGATGATTAAATGGTAGAGCAGTATAGATTACCCAGGAAATGTTAAAATAATTAGCTGGGAATTAAGAAGGCTATGGTGCCTTCCATAAAGTATGCAAAGAGTTATTACACAGAGTGTCTAAAAAGTTCAGAAATACAAGAAAAAATATTTTTTTATCATGCTTTTCTCAGGTTAATGAATCAGTGGCTTTAATTTTTTTTTCTTTTGAGTTGGAGTCTCACTCTGTCACCCAGACTGGAGTGCAGTGGCATACTCCTGGCCACCACAGCCTTGACCTGCTGGACTCCAGCAATCCTTCTACCTTAACCTTCCAAGTAGCTGGAACTACAGGTGTCCAGTACCACGCCCGGCTAATTTTTTTGATTTTATTGTAGAGATGAGGGCTTGCCAAGTTGCCCAGGCGGGTCTC